AATGGATAATTTCCTGGACACTTACACTCTTCCAAGACTAAACCAGGAAGAAGTTGAATCCCTGAATAGACCAATAGCAGGCTCTGAAATTGAGGCAACAATTAATAGCCTACCAACCAAAAAAAAGTCCAGGACCAGATGGATTCACAGCTGAATTCTACCAGAGGTACAAAGAGGAGTTGGTACCATTCCTTCTGAAACTATTCCAATCAATAGAAAAAGAGGGAATCCTCCCTAACTCATTTTATGAGGCCAACATCATCCTGATACCAAAGCCTGGCAGAGACACAACAAAAAAAGAGAATTTAGACCAATATCCCTGATGAACATCGATGCAAAAATCCTCAATAAAATACTGGCAAACCGGATTCAGCAACACATCAAAAAGCTTATCCACCATGATCAAGTGGGCTTCATCCCTGGGATGCAAGGCTGGTTCAACATTCGCAAATCAATAAACATAATCCAGCATATAAACAGAACCAAAGACAAGAACCACATGATTATCTCAATTGATGCAGAAAAGGCTTTTGACAAAATTCAACAGCCCTTCATGCTAAAAACGCTCAATAAATTCGGTATTGATGGAACGTACCTCAAAATCATAAGAGCTATTTATGACAAACCCACAGCCAATATCATACTGAATGGGCAAAAACTGGAAAAATTCCCTTTGAAAACTGGCACAAGACAGGGATGCCCTCTCTCACCACTCCTATTCAACATAGTGTTGGAAGTTCTGGCTAGGGCAATCAGGCAAGAGAAAGAAATCAAGGGTATTCAGTTAGGAAAAGAAGAAGTCAAATTGTCCCTGTTTGCAGATGACATGATTGTATATTTAGAAAACCCCATTGTCTCAGCCCAAAATCTCCTTAAGCTGATAAGCAACTTCAGCAAAGTCTCAGGATACAAAATTAATGTGCAAAAATCACAAGCATTCTTATACACCAGTAACAGACAAACAGAGAGCCAAATCAGGAATGAACTTCCATTCACAATTGCTTCAAAGAGAATCAAATACCTAGGAATCCAACTTACAAGGGATGTAAAGGACCTCTTCAAGGAGAACTACAAACCACTGCTCAGTGAAATCAAAGAGGACACAAACAAATGGAAGAACATACCATGCTCATGGATAGGAAGAATCAATATTGTGAAAATGGCCATACTGCCCAAGGTAATTTATAGATTCAATGCCATCCCCATCAAGCTACCAATGAGTTTCTTCACAGAATTGGAAAAAACTGCTTTAAAGTTCATATGGAACCAAAAAAGAGCCCGCATCTCCAAGACAATCCTAAGTCAAAAGAACAAAGCTGGAGGCATCACGCTACCTGACTTCAAACTATACTACAAGGCTACAGTAACCAAAACAGCATGGTACTGGTACCAAAACAGAGATACAGACCAATGGAACATAACAGAGTCCTCAGAAATAATACCACACATCTACAGCCATTTGATCTTTGACAAACCTGAGAGAAACAAGAAATGGGGAAAGGATTCCCTATTTAATAAATGGTGCTGGGAAAATTGGCTAGCCATAAGTAGAAAGCTGAAACTGGATCCTTTCCTTACTCCTTATACGAAAATTAATTCAAGATGGATTAGAGACTTAAATGTTAGACCTAATACCATAAAAATCCTAGAGGAAAACCTAGGTAGTACCATTCAGGACATAGGCATGGGCAAAGACTTCATGTCTAAAACACCAAAAGCAACGGCAGCAAAAGCCAAAATTGACAAATGGGATCTCATTAAATTAAAGAGCTTCTGCACAGCAAAAGAACTACCATCAGAGTGAACAGGAAACCTACAGAATGGGAGAAAATTTTTGCAATCTACTCATCTGACAAAGGGCTAATATCCAGAACCTACAAAGAACTCAAACAAATTTACAAGAAAAAACAAACAACCCCATCAAAAAGTGGGCAAAGGATATGAACAGACATTTCTCAAAAGAAGACATTCATACAGCCAACAGACACATGAAAAATGCTCATCATCACTGGCCATCAGAGAAATGCAAATCAAAACCACAATGAGATACCATCTCACACCAGTTAGAATGGCAATCATTAAAAAGTCAGGAAACAACAGGTGCTGGAGAGGATGTGGAGAAATAGGAACACTTTTACACTGTTGGTGGGATTGTAAACTAGTTCAACCATTATGGAAAACAGTATGGCGATTCCTCAAGGATCTAGAACTAGATGTACCATATGACCCAGCCATCCCATTACTGGGTATATACCCAAAGGATTATAAATTATGCTGCTATAAAGACACATGCACACGTATGTTTATTGCAGCACTATTCACAATAGCAAAGACTTGGAATCAACCCAAATGTCCATCAGTGACAGATTGGATTAAGAAAATGTGGCACATATACACCATGGAATACTATGCAGCCATAAAAAAGGATGAGTTTGAGTCCTTTGTAGGGACTTGGATGCAGCTGGAATCCATCATTCTTAGCAAACTATCACAAGAACAGAAAACCAAACACCGCATGTTCTCACTCATAGGTGGGAACTGAACAATGAGATCACTCGGACTCAGGAAGGGTAACATCACACACCGGGGCCTATCATGGGGAGGGGGGAGGGGGGAGGGATTGCATTGGGAGTTATACCTGATGTAAATGACGAGTTGATGGGTGCAGCACAGCAACATGGCACAAGTATACATATGTAACAAACCTGCACGTTATGCACATGTACCCTACAACTTAAAGTATAATAATAATAAATAAATTAAAAAAAAAAAAAAAAAAAAAAAACAAGTTTAAAAAAAAAAATAAAAATAAAAAAAAAAAAATAAAAATGGGCAAGTCATTTGAATAGATATTTTTCCAGTGAAAACACATCAATGGCCAACAAGCATATGAAAAGGTGCTCAATATCATTAGTCATTAAAGTAATACATATCAAAATCACAATAAGATACTATTTCACATCCACTAGGATGGTTAGAATCAAAAAACATATAATATCAAATGTTGATAAGGATGTGGAGAAAGATGAAACCTTGTACATTGCTGGTAGAAGTGTTAAAATGGTGCAGCTACTTTGGAAAACAGTTTGGCAGTTTCTCAAAGTGTTAAACATATGATTCAGAAATTCTACTCCTAGGTATATACCCAAGTTTATGTGTGAAATGATACATACATAGTGAAACAATAACATGTTCACACAAAAACTTGTACATAGATGTTCATAGCTGCATTGTTCACAACAGCTGAAAATGAAAACAACTCAAATCTGTATCGACGGATATGTGGATAAATAAAATGTGGTTCATTCATATAATAGGATATTATTTAACCATAAAGAAGAATAAAGCACTGATACATGCTGCAACACTGATTAAGCTTTAAAGCATTCTTTATGCTACGTAAAGAAGTCAGACACAAATACTCCATATTGCATGATTCCACTTATATGAAATGTCTAGAACAGGCAAATGTATAGAGACAGAAAGTAGATTACTAGTTTCCTAAAGCTGGGAGATAGAAAAATGGAGAGTTTCTGCTAATGGGTACTGGCCTTCTTTTTGGAGTGATGAAAATGTTCTAAAATTAGATTGTGGTGATTGTTCAGTACATTCACAGGGTTGTACACTTTATACACTTTAAATGGGTGCATGTTTTTTACCCTGATTTGATCATTATACAATATATGTATGTATTGGAACATCACACTGTACCCCATAAATATATACAATTATGTACTCAATGTATTGAATTTAAAACGAAACTTTAAAACATAAAAAAAATTTAAAATATTAAAAATGGATGAATGTAATGATATGAATGTTAGGGTGAATTACATCGCAAAAAAGCACTTTTAACAAAAAGAAATGAAGACAACTCCATAGGTCCACAGTCATATACTCTAACTTGCACAAAGAAACTGATAAATTTTAATTGAAATTATTAAATATGTTGTATGGCAGAAATAGACAACATGACTTGGGATGTCATAGGGATTTAACAACCATTAAAATTTACCAGTGTTTACTATGTTTTGGGAGGCAATGTGCTATGTAAATCAGATACTTTTACAAAGTAGTTTTTCAAAATGGCTCAAAAGTAATACCATTTCTCAGAGTTTGTCATAGGAAAATAGGTAGCTTTGGTTAAAAAAACAAGAAGAAAGCTAAGGTTAAAAGTATGTTTGTTGCAGCATTATTTATAATAGCAAAAACTTAGAAGCCATTTAAATGTCCAACGACACCAAAGTGTTCTATTTATCCATAGTATATTACTTAGTATCTAATCAATAAAAATTTTAAGTGGGAAGACTATGTAGCTCCTTTCATAAATGGCCATATTGCATGTAATACAGCGTGCTACAAAATTGCCTATGTAGTGTAATATTAATAGCAAACATTTATTGAGCATTTCAGATACACTGAGGATTAATTAATTTAATCCTCATTCTAACCCTTTGAAGTAAAGATTATTGAGGAAAGTGAGGCACAGAAATGTTAAGTAATATGTCCAGGTCACCATGCTTGTAAGTGGCAAAGTCAGCATTTGAATGTTGACCATTTGACTCTTTCGCCCATGTCTTAGTCATTAGGCTGCACCACCATTCCATCATACCATCATGCTCCATCATATGTGTTAGTGTGCTTGTGGAAAACATGTATGGGTATGAACAAGGACTGAGACAGATATTCAAAAATGGAAATACTCAGCTTGATGATAGGATTAGTAGTAAATTATTCCACTCTAATTTTTAAATGTTCTAAAATGCCTTTACTTTTTTGCCTTTATACAAATAAAAAAATGAAGAAGAAACAAAAATCTTATGTCCCAGGTGTTATTACTGTTTCCCAGCTCCCATGGGATAAAACATGCCACATATACCAAGCAAATTTAATGCAAATGCAATACCAAAAGAACAACAAAAAATTACTCTCCATTTCATCTGCGGGGATGTACATCACAATTTATCTTAGCAAACAAGTTATAGCTATATCATTTCTACCTTGAATATATCTGCAGTGTTAGAGTTAAACAGCTGATATTTCCCAGATCCCAAAATAATAGGACCTGAACATTTTGTTTCTCCATAGACATAAAGGAACACTGTTGCCGTGGTGCCAGCATTTTCAGGATCCCCAGTGACAATGGTCACCTTCCAGTCTCCATCTGCAAAGAAAAAAGGAAATCAATATAAAAGTATAGAGGAAAAACACATTAATATTAGGAAAATAAAGATTTCTACTTAATTTACTTGGTTATGAATAGTTTGTGAAATCAAGTACGAAAATAATTGTTTATCATGGATTTCCTTCTTGAATGCTAGAATATAAAAAGGTTTTGGAAATATTGTAGCTTAATTACAAAACAAATAGCAGTGGGCTTTTGAGAACAATACATATTTTGGGCAAAACAATGGAATTGGAGGCATTTAGAATTAAGTGTTTAGCTGAAATACTTAGGAGTTTATTTAGGCAAATAACTGTCAAATTTGGGGATGGGAATGAATGACAGGCATCCTGAAAACCTGATGTTAAGGCATCATCAGTCCTAGAAAAGAGTCCTATCAAGCTACACTAGTAACACAGTTTGGTGATCCTAGCAGATAGTGCTAAGGATGTAGAAGACATAAAAACAAGGCAAAAAAATTACTAACTTTCTTTCTCATGAAAAATTGCTGGAGTTCCCTGAGAGCTGGAACAAACCAACAAGTAAGGAAAAAAATGCTGTGCTGGACAAATAGGTCTTGGCAGAAGGAGTTGGGCTTGCGGAGGGAGGATGAAGAAAAGACACGTTTGAAGCAGAGAAAGACAATACATCGGGAAAGCATAGGAGATCACTGAGCTTCCTGCTGCAGTGATACTGAGAGCACAGAAAGGCTGAGACGAGCAGAGCATGGCAGGAAACAACTTAAAAAGATCTATGAGTTGTCTTATGATTGGTTTAGTTAGAAAGACAAAATATGTCTTCATTTTATTATTTTGTGCACTTCTTTGGGAAACTACATCATCAAACCCACAGCAATGAACCCCTCTCACCCCGAGTCCACACCACACAGCCAAGCACAGCAAAGGACAAAGTCCTGCCAGTTAGAACTCTGTGCAGCGCATGCACCTCTACTCATCATAGCTTGTCCCTAGGGTGCAAGGGTAATCTGAAGATGTTGTTACTGTTGTTTTCCAAGGCTCCATAAACCTCCTACCTTGTAAGTAATTTTTATATTTCCAAAATACGATTAAAACCACCACACTCTGCCCACCAAGTTCTCAGCAATTCTTCCATTAAGATGTGATTTGCTTTTGAAAACAACAATGCCTCTCCCCACCCACCACTGTCCATATATCCATAAACATCATTTGAAGATCTCTAAACAGTTTGATAAAACTTGCATCAAGTAAATTTTGCATAATGTCATCTTTGTTAAGAAAGATGGACCCAGTACCTCAAATGGGCAGCAGAACTCAAAAGGGTGCACTGCTACTTCTACCCTGCAGCCAGCCAGCTTTCAGGATCTACAGTTCATGTGGGAAAATAAGAAACATGCAAATCTAAAACTAAGTCCCATTGAGAATCCTATCATAATTTAATTCTTACAGAAAACCTCACACCTGTGCTTTGATGCATAATTCAAGAAGTGGAAGGATCTCTTTCCTTTTTTGTAGGTCTTCTTTCCTATCTCATCCTTATCTCCTTCCCGGGCCATCTGGACCTGCTGTCTAGTACTATCATGATCCCCCCTACTATCATGGGGGCAAGGACAGGAATAAGTTTGCACAGAAGCTTGGATATCTTGTTTACTGAAATAGAGGCAAATAGCAAGGAACCACTGATTCATATAATATGTCTGTGTTCCTCCTTTTTGGAATTAGCATGTCACGATGACACAGGCCTTAAGGGTGGGATAACTAATGAAACATCTTCTACAGTTATTTTTATTCACTTTCAAGTTTTCCTAAGCATGTTTTTCTCTTTGCAATTGGAAAAAAAATAAATTTTATATTTCATGCTTTAAAAATCTAATCACTGAACTTCTCTAAGAATGTTTCACTACCTAAAATACAAAATAGTTGAGAACACTTATAGAAAATAATATTCTGAGTTTATTTTTAAATTAAAAGTTCCACTGCCCTATGAAATAATTTATTTATAACAGGGCTAAAAGTATGTGTACAGTTTTTGTATTGCTTGTATATGTGCCAAAATTACAAGTATTTTCTGTAATTTTCTATTGCAAAACTTTTTCACCAAAAAAATCAAAAGAATATGCCTTCAGATATTTTATCTATATGTTTCTTTTTTTTCCTTTGCATTATAGTTACTGTCTATTCAACTCCAAGAACTCATATCAAAAAATGTTGTCATCTGTTAATCCCTTTGGAAAATTACTTCTATTAGAGTTTTCAAAGGAAGAAAGAAAATTCCATGTAATTGAAGTCTAAATATTTATCTTACATTTACCAATGTTTTGAAGGATTTTTTTAAAAGTTCTCTTGACTGTGCAATAAGCCATTACTGACAATCTACCTCAGGCTGTGCCCTTTCATTCTCTTTTCCAAGCTTAAATTGGGGGAGATACTATAGCAATGTCTTTCATTTAAATAAACCCTACTGCAGATAAAAGGAAATTTTCTTGGAAATCACAGCCTTAGGAGGCTTACTTTCTTTTGTGTTAAAAATACTTTTAAAGTAGTTTGGATATACTCTATGATCTCCAAATATTCCATAATAAATTCAGATTTCTTCTCAACAATGAAGTAGAGTCTAACAGGATCTTCCATATTTACACTGAGAAGTATGTGCTCTGCCATTTCCATTCTCATGTAACCAGGTGCAATCAGTATACATAAAACTGACCTAGAGAATTCCAAACTTCAGCCTACAGTTGTTGCTCAGTATCTGTGGAGGATTTGTTCCAGAAATCCCCGTAGATACCAACGCCAATAGATGCTCAAGTCCCTGATATACAATGGTGTAGTATTTCTGTATAATACACACACATCCTTTTGTATATTTTCAATCATATCTAGATTATTTCTAATACCTAATACTATATAAATGCAACATAAATAGTTGTTAGAATGTATTGTTTAGGTAACAATAACATGAAAAAAGTCTGTACGTGTTCAGTACAGACACTACCTTCCTTTTTAAAAATATTTTTATCTGCTGTTGGTTGAATCCATGAATGTGGAACATCAAGTGTAATGTAGGCCAACAATTGGAATTAAATTAATATCTGTTGACAAGTTGACTTACAGATACTGTGTCCACATTATGCACAAACATTGTGTTCAACATTCGAGAGACTCTAAGGAACAAGTGAGTTCGATGATCAAATCAAACTCCACACAGTTTATGCATCTTACCTAGTACCGAGTTTACTAATGATTCACTAGCAGGACCCAGGACAAGCATTCTTCCCTGCAGAGATCATAGCCCAGGGGTTGGCAAACTATGGCCCATGGGCCAAATCTGGCCTGCCACCTGTTTTTGTAATTAAGTTTCATTGGAATGAAGCCATGCTCATTTGTTTATGTATTGTCCATCGGTGCCTTCACACTACAACAGCAGAGTTGAGTAGTTGCAACAAAGACCATATGGCCTGAAAAGCCTAACCCAGGCTCATCAGCTGGCAGCATGGGGGAGCTATCTCTTCAGATGTCTGCAATTGCAGCACTAACTAAAGTTGTGTGAGAAGTTCCAAGCAAAAAATCACCTAGCTGAGTCACGTTAACTTGCTGAAAGGTAGAGATAATAACAAATTATTGTTTTAAGCCACTGAGTTTGGGGGTGGTTTTTCACACAGCAATAGATAACTAGAATAGCTGCTGAAAGTATTTCACAGATAAGGACTCTCCATTATCTTTTTACTTATAAAAACATTAGCATTTTTATCAGGATGTCTAGTTATTAGCATGTATGCACAGGGATTTGACTGAGTCACCTCTTTCATGTATCCCAGGTAGAGGAAAAAATTAGACTGCAGACTTGTCATTAACTGTTTCCTTCCCAATGTTTTCTTATCAATTGGAAATGCATTCTCAGGAAAGCATGGCTGAGTTATTTTGGTGAGCAAAGTTGCTACAGCTAGTAAAGTTCAATAGCCCTTCCTTAGATTATAACATTTTTTCTTTACCTTATTCTGTGTATTCTGTTACAGGGGTTACATGCATTTGACTTTGCAGTTCAGAAAATTAACCCTGTTGTTGAATATAGAAACATCTGTGTCTAGACACGTTTTCAGTTACTTGGCAACTACCCACTGAATACTCAAAGAAATGCAGAGAGGATGCATGTAAATTAAGCTCTTCCATGCAATTGTTAGTTGGGCATACTGAGGGAAAACACTCTTCACATCTGCTTGCCTTAAGTCACTGCAATGCAATTAAAAAAACGATGGGACAGTCTGCTTTGCCTCATTGGACAGCAAACGTGGTCCCCATGACTCTTACATTAACAGAGTAGGACACAGGAAGATTGAGTGAAAGCGAAAAAACCCAGCGCGTCTCTGCAGACTGCAGTCTCTCACTTCCCTGACTATAATAATCAGGGGTAGATTGAGACAGCCTAAAAAGACCAAGAGCCTTATGCATGAAATGTTTGTTTGGCTCTTACTCGGTAGAGAAGTTGAGGGTTGTGGCAGGGAAAGACGGAGAAGAACTGCAGGTGACTTGGGGGATAAAACTCAAAAGTTGAACAGATCTACCTCCAAAAAAGTCCTGGAGAGCACCCCAGATTTTAGGTGGTGAGGAAGGGTCAGAATTAATAAAACTTTCTCTATCATTACATCCATGCTGACATAATATTACATATAGGTTGGTATGCCTGTCAAATGTCTAATCTAGCTCTTTTTATAATATTGATGCCCACTGCCCATAACACCCACCTCCAAGTAGCCACTGGACCCCTCTACAGCCTCCCTCTCACACGGTGACCTTCCCTTGTGCCAGCCTTCAGCTATCCTGAAAGGCTCCTTTCTTCCTCCAGGACTTGGACTAAAATCTTTCAGCCAAAATGTCCTCTCTTTCAGCTCTCTCCTCTAACCTGGTGAACATCCTAGCTCAAAGGTCAGCTTCTCTTAAGAAGCATTAACGTGGCCAGGTGCAGCGGCTCACACCTGTAATCCCAGCACTTTGGGAGGCTGAGGTGGGCAGATCACGAGGTCAGGA